TATAATTATGATAAAAGTAATAATACTAATAATAGTAATAGTAATAATAGTAATACTAATGATAATAGTAATATTGCTAAGGGAAAGTGGCCAAATAGACCCTAAAGGTCTCGGCCACATATACATATATATTAGGGTCCTTATATATTCCTAGTATACCACTATTAGTGGGTGGGGGCCCAACCCAAAGTATCTTTCAAAGTTAAGAAGCCCCAATACACCCCCCAAACTATGACTCATTATCATGCGGGGGCCCGGAAGAGAACCTGCAACCTTTTCAGCGCAACAGTTTGGTCTAACGACTAGTGGCTTCGTAGCGTGACAGAGGCCGGGGTAGAGCAAGCCCCACTCATGAACAGTTCCTCCAGCAAAGACGAAGCAGCTCCAAGTAGGCAAGACTGGCAGGAGGCCAGGCAATTTGTGGTAATTCCCTGCCCTCAGAGTAAGCCTCACCAATCTTTTCATGCGATCATCTTGGCAGACGTTGGGATATATCATGTTGCAGAGGTTTATTATCAGTGTGAGGGTCAGGGTGTAGGGCCGAGGGTCCAGGATGTGTTAAGAGTTCAGGTTAGGGGGATTTCCGACAATTGTGGATCCTTGCGATGTGTCCCTAGAAAAGCCACTTCATTCCTGTTGCGGCTACAGTTTCAGATCACGAAAAAAAGATGTCCATCATCCAGCCGAGGCCTTGGAGCTACGTGAGTGGTTATCAAAATTATGGTCCCTTTTTGGGTACCCTATTTATTAGGTGCCGTATTATAATAGGGACCCAAAAAGGGATCATAATTTTGACAACCACCCATGTAAGCTAAGTGCCCCCGTCCCTGAACATAGAAGCATGTGAAGCATAGGGCTAGTGGCAACGCTAGGATCACGGGTGCACATAGGGGTCCCTTTGGTAGTCCCTAATATATATATATATATATGTATATAATACTTTCCAAAAAGGACCCTGTCCTGTAATTATGTGGGAAATATGGTCTGTAGCTCGCATATAAGAGAACATGTACATCTGGGAAAGTGGAAGCAACGACCACCTTGCTCCGTAAGATGCTTGTTGCAACTCTTTTTGGAGGGTGCCTTTACCCAGACCCCCTAAAGGATCCAAAAAAAGGAACCCCCTCATAATCCCCTAGTTTCCCCCATGTAGTTATTGGTTTATACTGGGGGGGTTCCATTTTTTGGATCCTTCAGGGGGCCTGGGTAGGAAGAAGCTGCAGTTGTTCTCTCAGGCCATGCACGGCAAGCTTCCAAAACACCTCTGGCCATTGCCCCGGGAGGTTAAGTTTAGGATTTAGGGTTGAAGGTTCAGGTTTAGTTTTTAGTAGTTAAGCTTACCCAGTAGACTTCTCTCAGGCTGGCACCTCTGTACTGGGTTGGGAAGAGCCAGTGTTTGGGGCTTAGCGTTTAGGTTAAGTGGCCGGCAGCCCTGTGTCCACACGCGAAAAAGGTTTAGGGTTGAGGCTTATGCTTGGTTATGGAGGGATCTCGTAGACGACGGAGACGCAGTGGAGGGATGCTACTGGCAGCCCAGCTTCTAATAAGAAATACTCTCACAATGCAGTTTGGCACTAGATTCGGAATACTTACTGCAAGGTAGGATTGGGTCATCACGCTCAACTCTGAGTTCCTTATTTCTGTAACGGTAATCCAGCCGAGACTGGGTAGTTTCGCCGCTATAAGCCTTGTACTCACAAGGCTTGCTTAAGGGTACCCAACTGATAACTTCCCTCCCAAAAACAGGGGTTTAGGTGCTGGCCTCTCGATCTTGTTCTTCCCAACATGTACTTACCGGTTCTTAGAAGGGAAGAAGGGAATATGGTCCGCATACAATCCCCATATAATATGTTCCCTTATTCCCCTACTAACCCCCAGTCAGTAGCTTGACCTTGCACAAGTTCTTCACTCAAGCTGAAGCAAGTGTGTGCGTTGATTGCAGCTTAGGGGAGGCCATGCTTCGCATAATCCTAAGTTACTTGCTAGTTCCTAGTGGGGAACATGGTCATATATTGTACAGAATTATATAGGGATTACATTCCCTTCTTCTCTCCCAGAACCAGTAACAACTTGCTGGACAGATAATTCCACGAGCAAATTGACCATTCATGCAGCAGGAACTTTCTCATGCTGCTCAGACTGCTCACACAGGACTAAAGCCAGTGAGCTGCATGCAGTCTAAGCTCCTAGTATCCCCCTTTAGAACCCCTATGATACTCCCAAAATAATTCCCTTTTATAACCCCCCGTAAGGAGTTTAGACTACAGCTCAGTATTGTCTTTTCTGCAAGCCCAAAATTGTGGGACTGTCACGCGGAACTTAGCCTGGCTGAAGCTACCTCTTTTCTCATTTACAGGGGAGTCACCATGCAGGGAACTTATTAAGCTTTACAGCTTTCCATACCCCTTATCTATATACCCGTTGGTATATGCCGCTGGTAGAATCCCTGCCATAAACTCCACTCCTGTAGTTGGTCCTACTCTTGCTTCCGAGCGTTTATTTGGCTCCAGTAGTCGCAGCACATGCCTGCGCAGTGAGCGCTATAGGGGTAGTTCCCTAAATTAGGGTCCCATCTTGGTAACCCCGTAATATGGTCTATAACCAAAAGGGGCCCATAATTTGGAGAATAGCCCATAGAAGAAGTGTGGGTCCTTAGCACAGACATTCCCTGAACCCATCGGTATTTGTCATTCACGTTGAACTCACCTGTCAAGAGACCTCCGAATCCTACGTGGCACGAATGACTACCAGTGTTCTTCTTTTTTAGTTTTGAATCCTCATACCTCACAAAGCACCTGCCGACAACCCCTTAAGTCCTTGCGCAGCGCCTGCGCCACATGCAAGAAACAAGCCTCCAGCGGACGCCGCCATTCTCAATGGACTTGCAGCTTTGCAGTTCAAGTTCAAATCATTCCGGGGTGGTTGCTCTTCATAGTCGTTAGTTTTCACTCCAATGCATTGATGTTGAGCCTGCAGCTGCTGAGCGTGGCATCCCCTGGAGGCTTGGTGGCAAGCGTGCTTTTTTCCGAAGCCTTGGACCGCTTCGGGCGTTTGCCCGAAATAAGACTTCGTTGTTCCCCTTCAAGCTCAAGATCAGCGTTAGTACGGGAATTGAGGGCCTACCCGAAAGATGTGTTACAGCACCCCATAGGCCAAGCTGCGAGAAGAGCGGACCGGTTTGTTTAGCATGCCATAGCGAGTGATCTCTCACATTCCGATCGGGATGCTCTGCGGCCGTTTAGTATCTCATTACTCATTACCCTGCCCACGCTGTGCCTTGAGGCACAAGATGGACAGGACTGTGACGGATTGGTCGGCTACGAAAGGCTTCCTGGGTTGTTTATCATGAGCTTGCGCACCCCCAGTGGCTAACACGGGACCCCACACATGGCTCCGTTGTAAACTGACTGGAGCCTTTCAGGAACCCTTTTTAGGGTTCCATGTTGGTTTGGGAGAGGAGGTGGGTATGTTATTCAGCGCTGGTTCTGGGCCTTTCCCGGCCTCCTCCTTGCTTTCAGGCTCCCTAGGGTCTTAGGCATGTCGAAATATGTTTTCAAGGTTATTCCTTATTCAGGATTCGACATGTCAAGTTATGGGGGACTGTTGGAATTACTAGTAAAGCTTCAAACTTAGTTTGGTTTAATCTATAAGAGGAATAGTTGAAGGTCAAGAGCTTCTACTAGCAGTAGTAGTAGTAGTAGACGAAGAAGTAGCTGTTACCAGAGCCGCCAGATTGATCTCCTCCCCCAGCTGTTCAGGAATACAGTGTGGGGGGGTTGGTGTCCCGCAGTCCCACGCACCAAAGCGAGTGCAACATTATTTGGTAATTGCTAATCTTCCTTTGTCTCTCGCTCTCTCTTTCGTGCTGTCCCGTTCCCACGCTTGCCTTGTTCGTGCAGGTATCCACGTTTGGATTACGGTGAGCCCCCAAACGTGCACCCGGCCTCTGACTAAGTCCGGCCAAACAGGCCCGCGATCTCCAATACGGCCTTTTGATTTGTGTATAGAGGTCACGCCCATGGATGCGGCTAACCCTGACTCTAAACCCTCCATGCATCCTAAGCCTCTACTTACTGTCGAGATTTATAGCTAGTCATTACAAGCCGCACAAACTCCCTTTCGAGAAGGAGGGAGCTTCTTTAGAGGACGGTTTGTACAATCTTACTTGACTGAAGCCCACAAACAAGCCTGTCCAAAGCCCTCCTAGACTCTAAATTGCGGCCGTAATCCAGACATTACATAAGTCTGGGTAAGCCACTGAGCCATCCACTCCCTAAGCGGTGGTTTCACGAAAGAAAAAGGTTCCCTTTGGGGAGTCCCCATATGAGGCCTTATATCAGGCTCCCTATCTTCCTGAAACCAAAATCTAAACCCTGAGCTCTTAAACCCTAAAGCCCAAATTCCAAATGCTCAGATCTGCAGCTTGCCGCGACTCTGGAGCGCCAAGCGGAGGAGCAGGTTGAGGCAGGCGCGCTTGAGGCTGCAGCTTCTCGAGCTGAATTGAGTAGTGTTTTATTTGGGGATACTATGGTACCCAATATAGAGGAAGATTATATCCTTCTTTTGGGGTATAGTATTTTATATAAGGAATATTATCTTACTAGGTTCAACCACCAAAAGACACTACTCAATTTGTCCTTACAGAGGGGTAATAGGGGTGCGAATATCGGAAAAAGGGATTCGGGATACTAGAGTGCAATCAGATGGAAAAGAAACGGAGACTGAAATGGTATGAAATGGTAACTTGGAT